GGCCTTCACTCTAAATTTGGTATCTTCTCATCTCAGCGAATATTACCTAAATCAAAACGGTTACGGAATTTTATCATAGGGCTGTGGACTCACCAATAAATAGGTCAAGTACAGAACAAATTAATTTTCCATCAGAATCTTTGGTTACATTGTTCCTAGACATACTTGTAAGATTAACGATGAAGTATTGTGAAAAGTGAGAAAAAGCGACCCGTAAATGTTCCTGCCCCGTTCGTTTGAAATTCCAGAGCTGTTACTATATTGTAACTGCAAATTATGCAACTCATATTTGCACTCTATTAAGTTCTACGGAAATGTTGTATACGGATATTTCAAGACTTGGTTACTGAACTGCATCTATACTAACTTGAGATGTGGGAATAGGAGACAAAGACAAAATATTTGATTTCATGAAGGTTTACTTTACTTTTTTTATAAAGACGTTTTTTCTGGAACTTCTCAATCGTCGTTGGTCTCTTTATTTAGGTAAGTAAATCCGGGCTGACGGTCAGCCTGACCCAAAGGTACTTGGCTGACGAATTCAAAGCTGGCAGACGACGTGGCGCCGCGTCTGTCAGTGGTGGTAATTGGAATCATCTGTGCCCTGCGAAATGTGTCAGCACATTTATCTTTGATTTCTTATTGCTGGTTTGCATGATTAGACAACAATCATGGGTATTATATATATGTAATGATTATTATATTAGAAATAGTTCATCGTCGCCCACAATTAGACCAACTCTATTTATAAATTAATGATAAAACAATAGTATATATTTTTATTCTAAATACCAAAGAAAAATTGTGAAAGTGACTAATAGTCAATGAAGGTAAAAAAAATACTGCCATGAGCTATATAAAACAACCAAACTATTTTTTTGTAAGTCAATGGGACCCAGTGGGACACGCTTACTTACTAAACATGAGGCAATCAATAGCAATGACATAATTTTGTATAAACTATACACTATGTTTTTCTTTATATAGGTTAGGTGTTGGCTAGGTACACATACAAGTGCGATAAAAATACGGTACTCCAATATTGTACAAACTTTACTTTCACCTCACTTGGTTACCACCGTCGCTCCGCTTGTTAAAATAAAATAAAAAATATCCGAGGGCGTAGTTTATTTTATATGGAAGGCCAAGTTTATTTATAGTTATTCTTCAGTTTTTTTCGGAGATTTGTATGATTAAAAATATGTCGTCATATTTACGTATCTATACTGTATCAAAATTAATTGTGATCTGGTAATTATTATTAGCTAACGTATCGTTTAGCTAATAGATTTTGTAGAGACGCAAATGGTGTATCGCTATTTTAGCATCTTGACGTCACTTGACGTAAACAATCGTAAACCTATGTCTGTTACATGGAAACAATATTTTTTACCTAAAATTTAATCAATAACCAAAAAATGAAGAAAATCTTGTTATTTTTTATTCTATTTATTTGGTGTTTTTTTTTTTTTTTTTTTTTTTTTCCATCTTTTTTAGAAATTGGTCGATATTTACAGAGGACCGCTCAATTTTATTTGAAAGAATGTTCTTGGGTTTTGACCTCTTTATCTAATTAAAAAACGAATTAACTGAAACATTAGCCCATTAAAATCATAAAAATCTCTTTGTTCCTTATGCACTAGAGCAGGTAAGTTAAAAACCGTTTCTAAATTTTCGGATTTCATTTTTTTTTTTTTTAGGAATTTGGAAAACAATAGAATAAATGTCCTTAAGAACACAACATTTAAAGACACGACGCAACTTTCGAAATTGTAAGTATCCTATGATGAATATTTTTTAGTGTCTCTGAAAGCTAATTTTGAATAAATCTTGAAAAATCAACACTAGGTTGTATATAGACTTGCAATAGTTTATATATTGGAAAATAACAATGAAAGAGGCCAAGTCCTACAAACACTTACCGGTAGCTTACAATCTAATAGTTGAGCACTTTCTAGTTCCAATCACTCAAAATATTATTTAATATTTAAATATTAGTTTAATAAGGGATGCAATATAATTTATGCATTTTGAAATTTGTAAATTTTATTCTTTTAGGCTATCTTTATATAAGGTAGCCAACTTTTATTATCTATATTTATTTATATTTCGTGATTTAAAAAAAATATATATATTTTAGTTGTGTAATATTTTATGTAGAGAATGCTGTTATCATTAATTTATAATTTATATGTCCATATGTGGGCACTTTATTTAGTATAAATATGTATGTGCTTCCTTTTGATGGTGTTTTTCCAACATATTAGGTATGCAATACCACGGCAGAGGGAAGTATGGGACATTTTGAGCTAAAATACTGCTTTTTAGATTTTTTTTTTATTATTACGCCTAGTATGGACTTCTAATTATATATCAAAATCACATAACACACTTCCTCATTTAGAACGTCTGATGCAAAAACACGTTTTGCTTGATTTCTCAAAACTATCCTGTTGTCCCATACTTCCCTTTGCCATGGGAGGGCAGTATAGCTATATATATATATATCAGAGCCATAGATAGAAAGAGTTGCGACATTGAGAATTTAGAAGCCATTTTGTGTCATACGCGATGCGCGTTCTGTGTCTAACGTGATGTGCGTTCCTGTGTATAATATTGTATAAT